AGGGGGATGGGAGATGCAGAGGGGTGAGGGGATGAGGGTTATGGGGCAGGAAGGGGGGATGGGGGTCTGTCACGTTGCTGCCAGTGAGGTCCTAGAGCAGTGATCCCCAACCTTTTCCGTGGGACGGGCGCCGGACGACTAGCCGCCGAGGACCGTGGCTGCCGAAATGCCGCCGTGAAGCGGCAACATCATTCGGCGTCATTTTGGCGGTAGCGTTTCTTGACGTTGCTGCTTCTCGGTGGCATTTTGGTGGCCAGGAGGCGCCCCCGGGCACTGCGTTGGGGACCCCTGTCCTAGAGCATCCTAGCCCCGCGTGTCTCTCAGCACTGACTCAGCACCAGCCAGGCCATTGGTGACGCTGAGCTAATGCCTGGGTGTGCTCCCCGCACGCTCCCCGCCCAGCAGCCCCCACTGCCCTGGGCAGTCTGGCCAGGCCCAGGCTGGGTGGAGAGAGGCAGAAAACAGAGTCAGAGAAAAGTGGGGCTGGAAGGGACCTGGAAAGGGCAACTAGTGAAGTCCAGCCCCTGCGCTGGGGCAGGGCCATGTAACCCTGGACCATCCCTGGCGGGGGTTTGTCCAACCCACCTGTGCTCAAAACCCTCCAGTGACGGGGATCCCACAGCCTCCCCTGGAAGCCTGTTGCACAGCGTAGCTCCCCTGAGAGGGAGAAAGGGTTTCCGAATAGCTACCCGGGATCTCCCTGGCCACAGACTGAGCCCGTCGCTTCTTGTCCTGCCTTCCGTGGCCATGGAGAACCATTGATCCCTGTCCTGTGAAGACTGTTCTCGACTGTTCTCGTGAAGACTGTTCTCAGGTCCCCCTCAGTCCTCCTCTCTCCAGGCTAAACAGGCCCTGGGTTTAACCCTTCCCTCACAGGGCAGGTTTTCTAAACCTTTCATTGTTTGTGTTGCTTTCCCCTGGATTCTCTCTAGTTTCTCCACATCTGCCCTACGGTGCGGCCCCCAGACCTGGACACGACCCCCCGCTAAGGCCAGCGCCGGGACAATCACCTCCCGTGTCTGACACACTCCAGCTACGCCCCAGAATGACACCAGCCCTTCTCCCAGCGGTAGCTGGAGGCTGATGTGCCGGGCAGGACCCCCAGGCGCTAGCGATACACCTCACCACTTCCAGGCCACACCCTCCCTGCCCATGTCAAGCCAGGCCCCCCTTGGCCCGGCTCAGGCCCTGGGCAGCGGGTGCCTGGGGCTGGAATTCAGGAGGCCCCAGGCCTGTGCTCACCCTGCTAGCGCTGTGGCGGGGAAGGGTTAACAGCTGTTTCCGATCAGGCGTGCTGGGCTCCATTAGCCATGCCTGAGCATCCCCATCACCGGGCTGCTGGAGCGGAGAATGCTGCCAAGGTGAACTTGGCCCTGGGCTGCCTGGGGCCTCGGCTGGCACGTCCCTGCCCACGGGCAGTGGCACCTCGAGGCAGCCCCAGGGCCAGCTGACTCTGCCAGCGGGCTGGGAGGGGCCTGCGCAGGGCACTGCTGCAGGGAAGAGCACAGCCTCCCTGGGCACAGCAGGGTGGTGGCTGCACATGGGGCCCAGCAGGACCCTCCCCAAGGAGGACTGATCCCCTCCCCAGTGGTCCCACTGCCCCCCTGCGCCGTGCCGTGGGGAGGCAGGGGGCAAAGCCCCCATGATGGGGACCCACACTAAGGTGGGAGCTGGGGCCTTGAGCCCAGCCCCGCAGTGGGGGCTGCTAACAAGTTCCTCCAGTGGGGAGGGAACCCTGGGGAGGGAACAACAGGGCTGAGTGTCCCCTTCTCAGGCTGCCTGGTCCAGCCCGGGGGGCTGGCACCCGGAGCTTTGACAGGAGATGCAGCAGCTGGGGGTCCTCGCAGCATCCAGCAGAGCAGATGTTGGGGGCCATGCAAGCTGGGGGAGCTTCTGCATGTGTGCGGTGCCTGGCTCCGCCCTCTCCCCCCGCGCTGGCTGCAAGGCCCCACTGCTCTTTACCAGGCTTCTCCGCGTCTGCTGTCTTTGGTCGGCTTGCCGCTCTCCCTGCTGGCCCGGGCACGGCTCGGCACGGCCCATCCCCGAGAGCGGAGCGCTGCCCCGTCGCGGCCGGCTCGCCCTAAGGCTGCCTCCTGCTTTCTCTTGCAGGGTGAAGAGCGAGGAGCAGTTTGCCATGGTGGCTGCAGTGCAGCTCCTTGCCTGGAGCCTGGTCCTGGTGCCGGCGCTGCTCCCAGCCTCTCCCCTGCCCCAGCCGTTCAGCAGCGAGCGACACACCAGGCCACGGGCTGTGGGAGCCTCCCTGGGCCCCGGCTGGGTGCAGGAGCTGGCTGGGTGGCCCCCTCTGGGCAGCCCCTCCGAAGAGGCTCTCTGGACCCGCCAGGCTCTGCCAGCCCTTTCCCCATTGCTGCTGGCTGCCCCTGGGGGGAGCCTGGTCTTCAGTGGGGCTGGGGAGCCGGATGATGAGCTGTGGCGAGGCTCCAGCCGTGCCCCCCTGCAGCCAGGGGCACCTGCTGCCCACTCTGCAGCCATCAGCCATGACACGGGGATCCCCCCTGCCCCAGCAGGAAGCTCTGCTCTCCCACCCCCCGCCTGGCCCCTGCTCCTGGGGGCTGATGGCTCTCGGCAAACGCTGGAGGTGCCCCCGGCTCCGGGACCTGCTGGCACTGAGGGGGCTGGGGGCCCTGGCCCAGACACGGCCACGTTCCAGGGACACACTGGGCTTGGCTCGGGGAGCTGGCCCTTCACGCCCGCGCCTGGCTCCGGGGCTCTGAGCACCGCAGGCAGCCCAGGGGCCTTGGCTTTCGAGAGCAGAGAACTGCCCTCGGGCTCAGAGCCCGGGAGCCTGCAGCCAGCTTCTCCCAGCCCGGCCAGGCCTCCTGGGGCAGAGAGCAGCCCAGGCCCTGCTGGGCAGGACAGTCCGGGCACCGCCGGGACGCCACGCCCCAGGCCAACGGTGTCCACTGTCGCCTTGGCGGCCAGGCCGGGCTCCGTGGCAGGAGCCAGCAGCGCCGAGTGGCGGCAGGCGGCAGACGTGGGCCCTGCGGGCGTGGGTCAGGAGGGCCGGCCTGTGAGCTGGGCTCCAGGGAAGGGGCAGCCGGCGCCTCGGGCCGATGTCCCCTGGGAGCCCGGGGAACCGCTGGAGCGTGCCTGGGGAAAGGGACGGGCTTCCTACACCCAGCAGTCCTCCCTCCCTCCCTGGGGTGATGCCCCGGGGCTGCCCCCACACCCCACAGGCAGGGATGGCCAGCCCCAGCCAGAGATAGGGTGGGTCCCTGGAGCCAGCCTGGCTACCTGGCCTGCTGCTACCTCCCAGCCGCAGCAGACGGCTGTAGCAGGGGGCTCCGTGGCTGGTGGGTGGCCTGGTCTTCCTCCCGCTGTGCTCAGCGCTGGCCGACTGGAGCTCCCGCCAAGCCTGGCTCCAGTGCAGGGCCGCCTGACTGAGCCGGCTCCCCCTGCCTGGAGGTTCACCCCGGCCTGGACAGAGGGGGTCACGCTGGAAACCAGAGCCCCGGTCTGGACAGAGGGGCTCTCGGCTCATCAGAGAAGCACTCGGCGGGCGCTGCCCGGATCCGCGACCCAGCCACTGCACCTCCCCGGAAAAGCTGCTCCTGGCACAGAACAGGGACCGGCGCACCCCCGTGCCAGGCCCGACCTCCACGCCAGCCCGGGAACGTCGCCCGCCCCAATGCCTCCTCGCCCAGGTACGTGTGACCAGCCCTGGGCTCTATGTGGCTGGTGGGAGCTGCTCCCAGGGGTCTCCTCCCCGTCACGGGAACCTCCCCAGGTTCCCACAAGCCTCCTGTCACCCCCTGGCTGGGGGCCTCGCCTTCTGCCAAAGGCACCGGGACGCCCCTTCTCCTGCTGTCCCACCCTGTGGCCGCGGGAGAGGCTGGGGCAGTAACTAGTGGTGTTCCCCACGGGTCAGTCCTAGGACCAATCCTAGTCAACTTATTCATAAATGATCTGGAGAAAGGGCTGAAAAGTGAGGTGGCAAAGTTTGCAGATGATACTAAACTGCTCAAGATAGTTAAGACCAAAGCAGACTGTGAAGAACTTCAAAAAGATCTCACAAAACTAAGTGATTGGG